GATGGCCAGTATTACAGATTACAACCAACACAACCACTAGGGGGCTAGGCCAAGTACAAAAGGGAGAGTGAATCAAAACAATGGATCCTCCTACCAGAAATGAGCTATACTTGGCCAAGCCCCTCCTCCAATGAGCTGAGCAGCTAGAGTGCATATGAAGATCTCTCACAGAATCTCATCAGTAAGATGAGACTCAAAGGTTGAGATAATTTCATGGAAAACATATACTACACAAACTATCACAGAACAGATGCTAAATAAGCATTAGCTCTTATTATACTAAAAGGCCTTCCCAGGTAGCTCCAATTCCAGAGCATGGCTAACAAAAAGACTATTCAAGGGCTAGAAGTCCACTATTTGGGCAAGAAAGATCAGAATCAGCTGCTAGCAGAAGCTATTGAGGTAATTGTTGTTATCCATGCATTCAATCAAATGACTGCCTATCATGTCAGGTCTGCTCTAGGCACTTATGTTTGTGGACTGCCTCCTCCGTATGCATTTCCTGTTCTCTTAGTAACAATCTTGGATTTTACTTTAGGGGAGACTCCCTTCCCATCCAAATCCTACATTTTCACCTGTGCTTTGAGTAGAACTGACCTCACTTCCAGGGTTGACAAGAAGAAGAACAGCTAACTGGCCCTGCAGACTGATCTGGGATGGGCATGTATGAAGGCCATCCTCCCACAAGTATATTTTCCTTTGTCTTTCACAAATCTATCCTTATCCTATTACCCAACAAATTTTACCTATACAGAATTCTCAGTTTTCCAAACATCCCTAACTTTTCCTACCTCATGCCTTTGTTCCAGTCACTCCTTGTATTTGAAGTGTTCTTTCTAACCCTCCACTTCAAATTTCTCAAAAATCCTATGTTTCTTGTCTTTAAGAGGAAAGAGTGCTATCTCCTTTACTCATCCAAACTTCCTCTGATCTTAATTAGCCTTTGATTTGCCTACTCTTTTAAAAACCAATATGCTCTTGAACATATAATTCCTACAACTCAACAAAAACAAAAATCAACCTGATTCCAAAAAGGACAGCAAGCTGAGGGTATAGCTCAGTGACAGAGCCATTGCCTATCATGTAAGAGTCCCTAGGTTCAATCCCCATTGTTTAAAAAAGAGGCAAAGGATCTAAACAGACAAGCATATAAGGGGTTCCACAACAATAATCATTAAGGAAATGCAAATCAAAACCACCAGATACCAATTCATATCCACTAGGATAGCTATTATTAAAAAAAAAAAAACCCTCTCAGAAAGGCTAGTATAAAAACAACAACAACCAAAAAACCATGACAAGGACTGGCAAGGATATGGAACACTTCGGTGCTGTTTTTTGATTCCTTAAAAAAAAAAAATTAAACAATGAATTATCATATAATCTAGCAATTCAATTTCTGGATATAAACCCCCAAAGAACTGAAAGCAGGGACCTAAACATGTATTTGTGCATTGATTCTTATAGAAGTATTATTTACAAATGCCAAAATATAAAAGCAACCCAAGAGACCACATAAAGATGCATGGATAAACAAATTTATATACGCATGCAATGAAATATTATTCAGCTTTAAAAAGGAAGGGAAATTTGACACATGCTATGACATGGATGAACCCTGAAGACATGCTAAATGTTGAATAAGCCAGCCACAAAAGACATGATATAATTCAAGTCTACAGACCATTCTGGGAACAGAGAATGGGAAGTGTTTAATTGGTACAGATGAAAAAAGTCCTAGAGATGAACAATAGCGACGGTTATACAACAATGTGAACGCACTAATGGCACTGAGTTGTATACTTAAAATGGTTAAATTGGTAAAACTTCACATTGTGTCTCTCTTACTAGTAACTTGTGACATCTCTCACAGCAGCTAACATGGCACCTTACACAAAGATGTGAGTCCCTTACTTTGTTAGCACTGAATGGTATAGTGCTAACAAACCAGTAAGGATGCCAGAGTAAACAAAGTTTTTAAGAATTATTTAAGGAACAAGAATAAAACAATATCATGCTTAAAGAAAAAAAAAAAAAAAGGATGCCAGAGTATCTTGAGTGTCATATGCATGCATAGAAAGTAAAGGTTCTACGCTAACATCTTTTTTTGATCAATTCTTATTCTCCGCTAAAGGAAATCAAAGAAGAAATGGAGCTGGCCCACCTTAAAAGAACTTCAGCAAGTACTTAATAGTACCTCCTTAGCCCCCAGAGAAAATGATCTTCTGGCTACTATTTTGAGGAAGAAGATCTAGCCACTTAGTATGCTTCTCTCCCTTCCACTTCTCCCCAGTGGACAATTTTGCCAAAGGAAAACTCTTCTTCTAGGACTTCTTTAAGGTAATCAGCTTTTCGGCAATAATCTACCATTATTTTCCCTTCCTTTTGCTTTACTGTCAAAAAGAATCTTTATGTATTCAATGGGGTATTTCTTTTGGGTGATTAAACCCAGGGCCTCATGCATGCTAAGCACGCACTTTACCTCAAGGTGCTCAACATACAATAAACATCTACCACCTTCTGGGCCTTGTGCCATGTAATATTGCACAAGATAAATTCAGTCCCCACTATGAAGGATCTGACCATCTATTAAAGCAGTGTTCAATGGAAATACAATAAAGACACATCATTCTATATTTTCCAGTAGTCACATCTTAAGAGTGAATACTAAAAGATGAAATTTCAATATTTCACTTAACCCCAATACATCTAGAGCTATCATTTAAGCACTGTAATTAATTTTTAAAATTAAGATTATTTACATTCTTTCTTTTATGCTAAGTCCTTGAAATCTGGTGTATATTTTACACTTAAATCAAATGTTAACTTGGATGAGCCACATTTCAAATGCCAGTAGGCCCATGAAGTTAGTGGATATATGGGACTAGTGTACCTCAAAATAACGGTTGAAACCAACTAGGGATTATTACCTTAAAAGCCTGCCCTATGAACTCTGGACGCGGTGGGGGTGGGGCAAGATGACCCAGAAAGAAATGAATTAAGGAATCTGAAGGAGCTTACCCATCAAAGGAAGAGCTGGTGCAGTCATATACCATCTCTCGATTACCCTTCATTTGTAGGTATGCATCACAATTATCACAACCGTCATATTCAAACTGGTCTATTGTCTAAGCAGTGGAAAATAATAATTTTTTAAAAAGGGACAACAAAAGAAAAAGTAGTTTTCTCAATACTTTCCACCTGGTCAACTTCTTGGTTCTCTAAGTTGTCTCAACAGGTTCCCCACCCAAGGGAACCAAGGCACCATTCCCAAATTCCACTCTCACACTCCTCCCTCTCTTGTTCCCAATTCCGGCTGATCTTTCCTTTCTCTAGTCTCCTCTGGGCCAGGCACCCTCAGCTGCAGATTCCCAGTCTTCTGACTCCCAGGGTTTTTCGGATCCAACCTAAGTTCACAGCACGTTTGTAGAGCCACGCCTGAGGCATTTTAGACCGCTAGTACCCTTAGGGGCAAGACCTGCTCGCGTTCTCAGGACGTAAATAACGGCGTCCTTCGAATTCCCACTCCCCTGGCCATCTCCCGGGGTCCTGGACATTTCTTTCCCCTGTCACCAGTCTCATCCCACTTTCCCCTTCTTCCCCCACGTCGCCCCTACATCCAGGACCCCGACAGATACCTTGACCAGCGAACACAGCAGACAAGCTCGCAGATGCCGCAGGTCCTTGGGCACAGTCTCCAAAGCCATCCTCTCGGATTCGAAGAACAGCAGGGTACACGACCACAGCCTCCACACCGCAGGAAGTAAACAGCTCACTACCCAGAATGCCTGTCACTTCTGGGGCCCGACTTCCTCTTCCGGTGTAGGAGGGCGCCGGCCCCGCCCCTCCCCCCCGCCTGAGGAGATGGTTTCTCCCGCCGGGGAGCGGAGGTGGGGCGGCCCGCAGCCACCTGGGCCGGCGCGCGCCTCGCCACCTGGCCGCGCGGGGGCCTTCGGAGGCGGCCGTTGGGCCCGTCGGCTGGCCCCGAGGGGCGGGGTTGGCGCCTGCGCGGAAGCTCGCCGAGCCCGAGCGTGAGTGCTGCCGCGCGGGCCGTTTAATGTAGGCCGCTGGAACCCCGCCATGGTTCCCTTAGAAGGCTCCCCGATGATAGCCCAGATTCTTTTTTTGTCTTCCGGCTTTTTAAAAGCGCAGGAGCAGGACAGAGGTTGTAGCTCAGTGGTAGAGGATTGCCTAGCATGCTGGAAGCCCTGGGTTCCTTCTCAGCATCACAAAAAATAAAAATAAAGAAAAATCCATGTCTCTGGATTATCTCTGCAGAGACCCAAAATAAATGCACAGGCTGCCCCACCCTCCTCCCTAACTGTGAGAGAGCACTATAGGGTTTCCATTTGCCGTCCACAGGAATGCTGGCCTGTGAGCTGAAAGCCGGGAAATGCTTAAAGACTACGTTAGTGCGTCCCAGCTGATAATTTATACTTTGTACAGCTCTTAGTAAAATTTAGACAATTCCTTTACTTAGGAACATCTATAGATTAGGTGTCTTTCTTTCCCCATCGCACCTAAAGGAAGTTAAATGTCTTTTTCTGTCTTTCTAAACTAGGCAACTAGCACCCCTACCAAATCTTCTGGGAGAAGCAAAAGAATTGTGCAGTGTGAGGAAGAGAGCCAAAGCTCCTCCTGACCCTGGGGAATTCTTCATACAAAGCACCAGCTCTCTGGTGTGTAGGCAGAGCACAGGCATTTGTGTTTATCTGAATTGGAGCTTCAGGATATAAATAGTTTCAGGCCCTTCTGTTCTATCCTTGCAGCTGGCCTCCTTATTGAAACAGCTTCTTCGCGGCAGACCTGCTTCTTGTTGCCTGCTTCTGTCCCATGCTGTGTTCAGATGGGATCTGTGACTGGGGTCTGGTTGTTTTCTGTTTCTGAATGTTCCCTGAACACATTTTTACTCTGCTGTCTTGTGTACACCGTATATTGACTATGAAGTATGCCCATTTATTTATTTTTTTTAGTTGTAGCTGGACACAATACTTTAATTTTATTTATTTTTATGTGGTGCTGAGGATAGAACCCAGGGCCTCCCACGTGCAAGGTGAGCACTCTACCGCTGAGCCACAACCCCAGCCTAAGTATGCCCATTTTATGGGGAAAAAAATGAAGCTCTGAATATTTGCCTAAAGTCACAAAGTAAGTCATTGAAGCATCCAAAATTAAAGTGTGAAGTGAACCATAATACAGATAACTAGTGACTGAACCATAATGAGAATCCATGCATGCCCTCTTCTTCCCTGATGCCATGCTTTTAAGGGGCTTAAAAAGTCTGTTATTGGGGCTGGGGTTGTGGCTCAGTGGTAGAGCGCTCGCATAGCATGTGCGAGGCCCTGGGTTCGATCTTCAGCACCACATATAAATAGAGGTAATGTGTGCAACTACAACTAAAAAATAAATTAAAAAAAAAAGAATCTGTTATTGACAAGCCTATCACTCTACACTAGCCTTTTGTAAATCAGACTAGCCTCTGATATCAGAAATAATTTATTTCTCTCCATGTAGAAAGATAAAATTGTTACCCTGAGTGAGTCATGACAAAATAAAACCCAAGACCAGACCACATTTATGGATAAATATATTAGCAAATAAATACATTTCTCAACATAGTGCCTGATTCAAGCGTCTTTCTGTCTGGTTCAGATATAAATACCCATGTGGGTGCCTAGGTGCTAGTCTCCCCGCTGACATTGAGGGAAGAACATTACCAAGTAGAATCCCGTGCCCATTTTGCCCCCACATTCACATTCTAGGCAAGGATAAAGCCTGAGGGACTAGAAATGGTCAGAATGTTCTGAAGTGAATGTCACCCTCAGGAGTTCCCCCAGCCCTTGCTCATTCAGTACAAGCTACCCAGGCCAACTTTCTACTCCAGCTCTACTTGGGTGCACACCTTCTGGTTGGTCCCTGGCCTACATGGCTTATACTGAGGAGCTGGGCCTCTGGGCCCTCCAAACCTAAGGGGTCATACTTTGCTCTTCCTTTTTTTTCCCCTGTTCCCCATCCCTGTTCTGAGACAAAACTTCTCTCAGAGAAGAACTCTTGGTTGTTTTTCTCAGCTGTAATTTTGTATTTTCCACCTTCATTCCATCCTCCTCCTTCCTAAAGTCAATCAGAAATTCTCTCCTTTTTGCCTGTTTTGGGTCTTTGAAACAGAAGATCTTCAAGGAAGAGTCATTCCCTCTCCCTTTCCTCCATCCCCCGAGGAACTGGGCTGATAGAGGGAGTTGGAAGATCAAAAGCTTCATTCCACATTCTTCAAGGAGCTGCTCCCACCTCAGGATAGAACTCTATGCCCTGGGTTCCCAGAGCATCTCTCTGACTTAATATTGTGGATCTGCCATTTTAAGAACAATTCAAGGACAAGAAGGGGAAAATATTCTTCCTTATGCACTGCCTGGAAAAGCTGCAGAGACCTCCCTTTTTAGGGGTTAGGGGTTACCTATGCTCCTGGTCCTTTTGTAAAGAAGGAAAATAAGAAAACTGGGGTTGCCCCTGATGCTGTGGCTTCCAGAGAAGAGCCAAAGCTCATGTGCAGAGATCACTCAAGGCAGGAGGTGAGAAGGGTCATGCATTCATCTGAATGCATTGGCTGGTATGAACATGAGGCCTGGGGAGGGAGAATGAGCAGGGCTGGGGGAAGGAGCAGCACCTTTGTGACACCTAGCTACCCACCCCAGCTTCCTTCCCTCGACAGCTCAGCACTGGATCCAGCCCACAAATGCACACAGGTAGAAGCTGGCTGCCTGGCTGGACACAGGCTCTCTGCACTGCAGACAACACCTAGAGCCAGGATCTGGAAACAGTAGCTCCCTACCCCCATATCACCACTTCCTCTCCTAGTGGTTACAGGAAGTATGGCAAAAAAGGGGGTGTTTGCTGAGGTCCTTTCTTCTCCCAGAAGTGGACTTCGTGCCAGGTAGGAGTCTAAATGACTGAAGCACACTCTTGGTTGGAGCTTGGCCTGACCATCTCACACAGTCTGTTCACACAGCTCCTCAAGCTCCTCCTCTGATCCTATATGTGGAGAGAAGGGAGGAAGAGGTCATTATGGATTAGGATGGGATCCTGCTTCTTCCACCTGTGGAGAGTGTGGCTGGGAAGGAACTGCACAAAAAGGAAGATCAGGGAATAGCTCTGGAAAGGTAATTAGACTGAAAGCTGAGAGGGCTCTGTTGGGAAACTAGGAGAGAAAAAAACAAATCTAGAGAAACACATACAGCAACCAGTGTGTTATCAATACTTACTATTCATTCATTCACCCAATAAATATTTATTAAGCATTCACTGTGAATTTGGCCTGCTACCATTTGCCAAATAGAAGACCCAAAACAATAAGCAGGGACCTGACACCCTTACAGGAGAGAAGGCATGCATGCAAATGGCTATTATGCCAGTAGGACAGGACTGGGGTTACAAGAGATGCATTGAGAAAAGGGAGAGACCACGTCCAAGTGCAGCAATCAGAAAGGCTTCCTGGAAATAAAGATACATGAGTTGGTTTTACAAGAATAGATGGGAATTAAACTTATAGAAAAAGGAAAGGCAGCAGGATATTCTGGGGTGCAAGAACTGTAAGAAGTGATTTTCCAGTTTGACTAAAGTATAGTTGGCAAGAGAAGGGAAGGGAAAGAGTGGAAAATTAGGTTGGGAAGATGGGCTAGTTGGTGTTGGATTCATGAAGGCCAAACCAGGTTGTTGGAGTTTTCCTTACTGTAGACAGAACATTTGAAGATTTCTAGACAGTTCTGTGTAAGGCAGATGACCCTGGCAACAGTATAGAAGACAGAGGAGCAGGGGAGCTGTGTTGCACAACACTGGATATGCAGCTGCAGCCTTCATGACCCTGGGGAGGGCTTCTGCATTGATCTTCAGGCTGGACCTAAGACATGGGCAGGGGCCATCAGTAGGGAATCACCACACACATGGCTCTATGGAAGTGATTTATCCTATATACTATAACTATTTGTATGATTGTCTTCCCACAGACCTGGATTCCCTGGCTGGCAAGTCCCATGTCCTCAGGGGCTGGCACATAGTAAGCATGAAATCAGAAGGAAAAAAGGAGAGAGGAAGTGAATGAATGAATGACAGCAGCTCTCAGGTTCTACCTATAGGATTTCTAGACTATGAGGCTTTACATTTTAGGATATTTAGGTCCTCTTTTGAGGTGAAAGAATTCCAGAGATGACTATAGACAAAGAGCTATATCATACACACAATGGGAGAAGGTGGGGAAGTATGGGAGGTGGAGGGCCTGAAAGGGGAAGAGGAGTATTCAGGCAAATAAATATCCACAGTTTAAAGCTGAGGATTTACATTGTCACCACTGGTTATACTATAGGGATTCACTGAGTCCACAAGAAAATGAGTTTGGTCTTATTTAAAAGGTACTTGATAGGGAAGCTGTAACATTCTTTTACCAAAACCTGAGGATTCCCAGGGTGGCTGGGAACCACCTATATGATTTCTACTTTTTTTCCCACATCATTCATGTAGCTATATGGCTTAGTGTTATGGTTATCTGTAAGTATTTTTTCTATAAGATCATGGTCTCCCCAAGGCCTTCTTCATATGTAGAGCTAAAGTTGAGCTGTGGCTTTGGTAGAGCTGTACCAATTATCAGATTATTAAACACTTAGGTTTGAGTTGCTGCCCTAAACCATCCCAACTGCCTTTCTCATGTCTCAGCCACAGTAGTACCTCCTCTGGGGCTTCCCTATCATCTGGCAACTAAAGGGATAGCACTTGGCAGAGTCAGGGTACTCTAACAACATCATATGCTATGCCAATTGTTCCATATTTTGAATGTCACCTCTGTTGTAGACTTCTTAGCTTCCATAAACCCTTGTTGACTGATTTCACCTGTCCTGGAATCCCAGCTTTAGTCTCCTCTCCCCACCACATCTACTTCCCCTGAAAACTCACCTGGCTGGGCTGGCGACATCTGGCAGTGTGGGTGAGGGCACGGCCTGCTCTCTGGGGTGTCAGAACTCCATTCAGAAGGCCCCTCCCCAGGTGGGTGAGGACCCAAGGGCTGGCGTGAAGTCAAACACAACCACACTGGCTGTGAACTTGAGTAACAGGGGCCTGGATCTTCTGGTAGCAACCTTCTATCCAGGCCTGGAGGTCTAAAGACCAACGGGTGGGCCTCTGGGGGCCAAAGGTATGCCAGGCTGGGGCTGTAATGAGGGAACATCTGGCAAGCTGGGTGCACAGTCAAATCCTGAGGCCGAGAGGTTGGAGTGGGATCTGAGGGACCACCCCGCCGTTTTCTCTGTGGATGTCGAACAGTGAGGCTGGATTTCTGCAAGTTTAAAAGACCAGGGGAACTGGGGCTGGAACTGGCAGCTTCAGGTGGGTCAGGAGCTGGCTCTGTGAGGGCCCTGGGCCGTTGTGGATTGGAGGGCTGCCCCGAAAGAGCTGCTGGGTTGGATTTGGTGACTTGCTGATCAGGAAAAGGTGGCTCTGGCTGAGGCTGTGTCCGAGAAACAGCAGGCCTGGACTGGGGGACTCCAGTTTCTGGGCCAGACTTCCTGCCATGCCACTGGAACCGCTTTTTGTAGTGGTAGTGTCGGTGCCGGTGGTAATGGACATGGCTAGAAACCTGGGTTTCCCCAGTGGGCACTACTGAGTCCAAGGAACGGGGCCGAGAGGTCACACTGGATTGCATCTCTTCCCCCTGTAGGTCCCCTTGAGGGCTACAGTACACCAAGGGGTCAAAGTCACTGCTCAGGGAGCTGCGGAAAGTAGAGCTGCTGCCATGGATGCCTTGCAGGCTGATGTCTGTACAGTTGACCACTGAGTCACTGGAAGAGCCATGACAGGGCCCCGAACTGGAATCACTGGCTGGCCCATCTGCCAGGTAGCCACTGCGTTCTGTACAGTAGCTTTCTCCAGACCCACTGCTGTCATGAGGCCTAGCCCGGCGCAGAGGCGCTGGGCAAGATGTGGGGTGCTGAGATGTGCATCGGAAGTGGCTCAGCCCCCATCCCTGAGCATAGGGGTGCTGAGCCACTGCCTGGCGCTGTTGTTCACCTGCAGCCCGGAGATGTGCAGCTCTGGGGATACGTTGGTGCCGAGGCTCCTGGGATGGTAAAAAGGGTCTAGGTCGAGGGGGCCGAGTGCCTGAATTCCGAGAAGGGCCCAACAGGTAGGCAGCAGGGAGGTGATAGTGGGCATGGCCAGGATGCTGGCGAATGAGGTGGAGTCTCCTGCCTGGTTCCTGATAAGATCGAGAGGGTCCAAGGGGCTGGGAAAATGAATCTCCCTCTGGAAAAAAGAACCAAAAGCACAGGTGTTTGAAACCATAAACCCATATGAAGGTTGAAATGAGAAAGATGTGGCTGTAGCAAACCTATTTGAGCTTGCATAGCCTGTGAGCTCAGAATTTGGGGGACCAAGGATGTCCCTACGTTGTCTGGCTCCTTTGCTACTTCCAGTCAGGCTGATTGCCCTGGGAGTCCTACCATGTAGTCAATCCCTGCTCTTCCCACTAGTAATTTGGGACTCTTTCCCCCAGGGCCACTGATATCCCATATTGTACCTTTGGGTGGATTAGCAAAAGGTTCTCTTTCCTTAAGATATTTATTTCACTTTCATCTTTTAGAAAATTGTCATATATACTGGAGTTTTTTTTTTTTTAGAATAGGGTACATTGTTGACAGAAAATTGGAACAGTAAATATGCAAATCACCCAGATTTAGAATAAAAAAAGTTATTATAACAAACAATTTTTAAGATAATAAAGATGTCTACTATCTGAATGTACTCCCCCCTGTCCATGAGGTGCTCTTAAGCAGTGAACAACTGAAATGACTACCATGACAGTTCTTCCTCTTCAGCTTCATGGCAGAAACCCTTTCCCAGAGTGAAGCCACGTTCTAGACCTGTTTGCCTGCACATGGGAGTCCTTGGCCCAGCTCCTACCTACGATGTTGAACATGCAGAGGGGACAAGTCCGATGCTGATGTAGCCAGGGGTCCACACAGGAGCGATGGAACTCATGGAGGCAAGAAATGACCCGAAGCTCCTAGAGAAAACAAAAGTGTCCAAATCATAGGTGGGGCCAGGACCAGGAGATCCCTCCATTCCCAAATTCCCATCAGTTCCCATCGGCCTTTCTTTCCTGCATTCATCTCATCACAAAAGACCTCACAGGAGAATGAAAGGGTGTGGTCTTTGGTTTCATATGGATTTGGGTTTTGCCACTTTGCTGCATGACTTTGGGCAAGTCTCTTAACAGTTTTCTGCTACAAAATGAGGATAAAAGACAAATCTACCTCAATTTTCACTGTCATGAGGCTGAAATGAGATAATGCATCTAAAGTACCACTGTGGTCTGGTGCATGGTTCTCTTTCCACAAACAATGGTGCTCTTCTCCAGGAAAGTGACCAAATCTCAGAGAAGTCCCTTGCTTCTGTCTCATGCAGGATACACAAGACACAGACATAGCCAGAGCATCGATGCCAGTTCTAGGCCTGTCCACTCCCACCCTAGTTCCCACCCTAGCTTCAATGTGCCTCCCTACTTGGTCATGCAGGTGAGCCACAGGCCCGCCTTACCTGGCCCTCAGAGAACTCCTCCAGGCAGATGGCACACATAGGGGCTGAGCTACAGCTGCTACCTGAGTCTGGCCGCTCAGCCTGAGCCCTCCTGCAGCTGGCCCGGTACCTTCTGGTGGCCAACTGGCTGATGGCCCAGGCTGTTCGCTGCTGAAGGGGGTCCTAGGAAGAGGAGTGGGACTCAGAAATGAGCAAAGTATTTTGTTTCCTCACCCACTGCATGGGCACTAGCTTGGACTTAGTTCCCAGTCATCCAGTTAGATTATATGGTCAATTGGCTACCCTTGGGAGTTTATCCCTTCAGAGCTCCTGCCTACCTCCTTTCATTAAATTTTTCTTCCTCTGATGACCCATGATAGATACTTTCTTAACTAACTACTGCTTGACATTGTAACTTGGATATCTAATAGACATGTCAGATTTAACATGTCCCAAACTGAAGTCCTAATTAACCACCCCCATCCTCACACCTGTCCTCCCTCAATCTTTTCCATCTTATAAATGGCAATCCCATTCTTTTAATTGCTCAGGCCAAAAATCTTGGTGCCATCTTTGACTTTC